TTCCCCACAAAACTAGCAGGCAGGCTGCTGATAAGGAGTTGTCATTGGCAGACACACTGCCCACCAGGGAGAAACCCACATCCAAACCCACCCGCCTTTTCCTCCCATCACAGACCAGACGAATTACACCATGATCTCCACACCAATAGGGGTCACTGCTTTGAGATCTAACAAGGTGTAAGCATTTGACTTGAAAAGAAAGTTAAAGAGCAGCTAAAAGTGTTTTGCCTCTTAATATGGTGATACGAGTCACATCAACACCTAAAGAAAGCCATTAAAAAAAGACCTGAGCAGCTGTCAAACTGTGCTCAATTACACTTTTTTTCCTGGTTGTGATGAAATACTTTTAGAGTTGTTTAACTAATTGTTCATGCTGTGAAGTCAATGAAAACAAAAAACGCAAGAGCATAAAAATCAATTTTGTGGTTCATCTCCCATTACCTCAAAAATCACACCCTCTAACAGTCAACACACAGACTCAATAAATAGCTCGCTCTCAATCCTCACTTAAAACGCCTGGAAGCAAAACAGATGCCTTCTCAGTTTCAGGTGATTATATTTATTAATTAAAAAAATACAAGACAGTTTATTTAAATATAGCATTATCTCAGGAAAATGTTTTACAGAAAGAAAAAAAAAACTCAGTTACTACAACAGAAAAGTCAATGGAAAAACAACCTAAAAATAAATTGAATCTATTATTCTAAACGAACCATCATTTGAAAATATGCAACAGATGCAACAAAGTGATTGGTTCACAAAAACTGGAAACAGCACACGAATCAAAGCACGAAATGAAAAACACAAATGCGGATCTATAAGAATGCTGGGGGATCTCGTTCCCTGATCTTTTCATCTGCGCAGCCCTATGGTAACTCACTTCAACATTTTACAACAGTCCACTGACCAATGAAACTTCACCGCCGTAGCCAAAAGCCTAGGTGACAATAAAAAGGCCATTTAATGCTAAAACCAGATGGTGTCAGAAAAGAAGGAAAAAAATATGATGAAATCTGTACTACTACATTAACACACACCAAAACGATCAACATAATACAGTTTCATTGTCTCCTACCTAATATTCTTACGAGTAACCTTGCAGCCCATGAAAAAAAAAAGTGTAAGATAAGCATTTCAAATAATATCGCTGAAATCAAAACACTGAAAACCTCAGCCGCTTACAGTCGGACAAATGCAGAGCTGAAAATTTTCACATAAGAAACTATGAAATGACCAAAATAATTATAACCATTTTTAATTGCCTCTTTGCCATCAAAAAAAATTAATACTTGCAGTCATGCTGTGCATCTATGTATGAAAAATTCTTCCTTCCCACAGCCCCTTACTTGTTCAAATTCACCACTCAAAATTTACATTCAAAACAGCAAGTAATTACTCAATTCCCAGATCGAAATCCTTGGGAAAGGATACATATATCTGCAGGAAGAGCTGAATACATTTCTGAAAGACATAAACATACAAAACAGGAACAAATTCGTCCACAAAACCAAAAACATCCTGGTGTCAGTGGGCAGAGGGGAGAAATAACGCCATTAGATTTTATTCTCAGTGAGCTTTAGACAAGCATCACTCAATCGTTTCTCCCTTTCATTAAATAAAATGTCCAATTTGAATCGGTCGACTGTAAACAACGGTGAAAAAAATGAAAATAAGTGCCCTCGTCGTCTCTCTTACTGTCGTGTGCATTCATCCCCCTCTTAATGTCCTGCAAATGAAGGGGATTTATTAATGTGTAATTAAGTAATAATCATCGCTACATAATGCATGAAACACTCATGGGGACGGTGGAGATATGAAACAGGAATGCCACAGCCGAGCACTCAGTGCATAGACACACATTAAAAAGGGATTAATTGAGAGAAATAATATTTTGATAAGCGCAGCTCCCTCTCCCCCTCTGACAAACGCTCGCTGTCTTTTTCCTCTCAAAATAATCTCTCTCTCGCTCTTGCGTGCGCGAGTAACACTGGCAATCACAGTTTCTAATGTAATGTGATGTGAGAGCATGACTTCCTTTACTGGAAAAAAAAAATACCCGGACTACCTTGACAATAGGCAATGGATTCTCAAGAAGCCCACCACCACCAGCAGCAACCAATGCGCCTGCATATGTTTACTACATCCCTAACACCTGCAGATTGCAACATATCAAAGCAGAAATTAATGACAAACAAGCTTAACCTCTGGATGAGCGAGCCAATACACAAGACACCGGAACATAAAAAAACATGAGTGATTTTTGTGCATACCACACTCAGACATATTGTTGGTGCCCTTCTAATCTCCAAGCATTCCAATCAAAGCTAAAGGTGCTGGGCTGAGATAGGGACAGAGCAAGCCTTGGTTACATATTTAATTGGCCTCTGATTGACGTGCATCGCTGAGTCAATACAATCACTGTTTACCCCCAAACCTCTGTGCTGCAGCAGGCCAACGCATACTTGATAGGAAACTGCAATAGTATTTGTTGCAACACAACAAAACATTTGCTTTAAATGTGCCTTTTATAAACAAAATAAACAAAAAAAAAAATTGGTTAATGCTAGCGGGGGGGAAAGATTATGCATATTACAACAATCACTCTGCGCATGTGAAAAAATAAATATTACGTTATTGATTACAGGGTCAACAGCCTGCTCTTTTCTGCAAAACAACTCAACAACATTGTTTAGGATTGATCTGCACCCAGCAGGCTCTGTCAGTGTTAAATGTCTATGAGTGTATTTTCACTTCATCCACCATGAATATTATCCACTTACACTCTATGTAAACTTATGACCGTTTTTGTTTCTCCCTTGATGAACCTCTGCAGATTGCGGCCGTTAATTAAAACAAAAAACTGGTTATTATTTGGGGGAGGGGGTACTAATATGGGCCACATGGCCACCCGAAAGCCCATCTGGTTTCTATTGGGGTGACGGTGCCAAGTGATATCTCGACCAGCAGCACAATATCTGCTGATGGACAAGCTGAAATAGCAGCAGGCCTTATTGCTCCTAAATTCACCTGCCTGAAAGTGTTGAGTCTTGTAGGAGGGGCATGAATGAGATGGGACTGTGTGTGACTGATTCTGACATGTCAAAGTCACAACCGGGAATAAATTCAAGACAATAAACAGCAAAGAGGGGGGGGGGAACTGCAATCTGAGGTCTGCAGAGAATCAAATTTCACTTACAACACTACAACAGACTGAGAGGTGTATAAAATGAGTGATGTAGGAATATACCTAATTAAAAGGTTATTCTATTAAAAATAAGGTTAAAATATCAATAAAAATAATATAGTTATTTTTTTTATTTTAAATAAATAAAGTTTACATTTAAATGTAGTATATCGTATAATATTAATAATGACGTGATTATGATAACTATTAAGTTTAATTATAAAATGTAAATATAATTTATTAGAAATTGGGCTTTTTAAAAACATATTACACCTATTATTAATAACTAACCTATTTACATGTATTTTTTAGGTATAGCTCCTTGCTTCAGCTTATATGAGGTAACTTGTCCTCCCAAACACAAGACCTGCTGGCACCTGGCATCAAAATGAAAGAGCTTAATTTGATAATTATCGAAAAGCATGCCTAAAGTTTCTAAACATGGTGTCACTATTGAAAGCAAACCCGTAAAACGATGAATTTTCACAATCCCCGCCAGTTTTACCCAGGAAATCTCATTGGTCATGTGAGTTGTTCTGTTCCCTCTCGTACAGCAACATAAAACGCTTACCTTTAACGGAGCGCGGTTTGGCCTGCTTGCGTCTAGACATCTCCGTGTTAAGAGCAATATTTTACTTTCTTTAATCGGTATCTTGTCCTCTCCAAGAAATATTGACAGGTCACGCGCTGATACTTGGGAGATTTCTTCACTTTGCCTGTTGCAATGCGGCAACTTCAGTCTCGCTAGTCCAGAAGCGTGCAAAGGAAGAGAGAGTACGGCAATGGAAAGGGATATTCCAATGATTGAACTTCTCCAACCTGTAGATTTAACGAATAACTTGCGGCTTTCCCCGTTCTCGAGGCGCGAACGCTCTTTTGTTCCTCCGTAACGGTAGACGCTGACGGCGGAGCGGGCACGCGCGCTCAGAGTTTCGAGAAGCGGAGCGTGCCCAAATTACACCTGATCAGTAGCGAGAGGTGCCAATACTTGCCGATAATGTGGAGAAGCCACTTCGACGGTGTTTCGGAATTGATTCGCTATGTTTGTCCTCCTTTTTGCAGTTGTCGCAACTGTCTCTTTTCGTTGAGATCCGCCGAACCACCCTCCTTCGCTGTTATTTTTCCGAAGGTGCCACTCTCAATGGCATTTTACGCAGCATTTTACCTGAGGGGATTTTTCTTCTTCTTGTTGTTTATCGTCCTAAAAGCCGTAAATATTTCTAGTCGCTAGCCTCTCTCTCCCTTTTTCTTTGTCCTGACTCTGGTCTTCCCTCCGCCTCCCGATCCGACTGCTGGCGGGGCTGCAGCGCAGACACACATAATAAAGCCAGGCTTGGCTGGAAATGTAGCCGTGTCCCAGCAGGAGGATGTGAGAGTAGGGTCCCGGCGGGGGAGCGCTCTGATCCCGCAGGGAGCTCCGCACAGCCTGGGTTGAGCAGACAGAGAGAGCCAACAGCACCAAACCATGGTCAGCCATGGAAACTACAGCTTAACTTGGAGCACGGATCGGGGCCAAAACACGGAGCTTCGAGGAAACTCTGCAGCGTGCAAGAAAAAAGACGGACTGGATTCGCTTTTTGCGCTCCTTGTACCGATGCCATCGTCTCGGGTTCACTCCAGCGTTTAACTATCGATTGGATACCATGACATTTTGGTTATTTTGAACATTTAACATTCCTACGTCGTCTTTGTAATGCGTTAACCTGCGTTTAAAACGAACTGTTTTAGATTTAAAGGAATAGTTGGGCTCAGCCGAAAACATAAACAATGTCATCATTTACTCAACCTCACGTTCTCCCAAGCCCTTTTTGACTTTCTTTCTTTTGCTCAACACAAAAGGAGATATTAGGCAGTTTGTTAAGCCCTGACAGCCTCCGCCACCATTCACTTTATTACATTTTTTGTGTGTAAGTGAATGAGACTAAAGAAATTCATTCTGATTTAAAACAAGAGGGTGAGTATGATAGATTTCTGAGTGCATATATTGTGTCAGTGTTTGTTTATTTGTGTCAACATTAAATGCATGTTTAATCTGCATCTTTTTTTTATGGAGTCAGTCAGATGTGTTGTTTTATTAGTTATTTTGGGATACGTTTTAACTTAACTTCATTTAAACCCTTTTTCTAGGATTCCTTTTGGCAGTGTTAGGCCTTTTCGACAGTATTTTCAATCCCCACAGCGTCTGTCTGGCCGTTTGCATGTGCTACTGAAGTGCAATTGCAGAAAGAAGATCATTTGTGCAAAAATCAACCTAAGAAATGGTCAAAATCACATGCGGTGCGCCGGAGCTGCTCAGCCGTTGTCATGGATAACATGGTGGGCACCCTGTCTCGGTCAGTGGGATGTCCTGCAGATTGAGCCAGGCGCCCTGTGGAGCCACGGAGCGGCCTTTAAAATTGACCCCCCGCAGAGGACCGGGGCCCCTCTTGTCTCGTCTGAGCGCACGCCTGGAGACCGCTTTTAAATGTGCTTCTGGTGTCCCAGAGAGAGAGGCCGCTGGCACGAAGGGGCGAAAGCTCACCGCAGTGGTCCCTTTTTCTTGGATAAATTCAAAGGAGGAAAATAGCCCACATTACAAGCTCCTTAAGGGTCAAGGACAGCCGAGACATGAATGGTTTGAAAGAGTGGCATTGTGAAATCACATAGCACACGATTACACCCTCTGTCATCTTTTTACGGATTTGCATTTTTCTTGCACCACAATGAACAGTTCAGAATAAGACTTACAAGACATGTGGATGAAATTAATTAAGACGCTGGAGAAAAAGAGGTGTGAACGACAAAAGCGGTGGTCCTGTTTGGAATAAACGCCGTTGCTATTTTAGGATGATTTTAATGAGTGGCAAAACATTTTTATTAGTATTATAGTCTTTTCTTTTTTTTTTTTGGATCCAATTTGAAAAATATTGGACATTCAAAAAAGGAACAAAATCCTACGTCGGACGCAAAATAAGTAATGAAGGCATTTGCAACACTTCATTTCACTGCTAACTGAACTCAAATGGTCTCACTTTTGGCTAGTATTTCCCTCCACGCAGCAGGGATGGCAGTAGATTGATGCCCTTACATTATTCATGCAACAATTATTCAAAATTTAGCAATAACTCAACAGCGTTTTGTCCTTTCTCTCATCCGTCTCCTCTCTCAGCGTACCTAGGTATGCTGCTATTCTTATGCGACCATCATCCATTGGACAGTGCGGCCCCAGAAAGCACCCTTAAACACTCCCCCATTGTACTGTCACAAGCCTGGAGAGTTCATGTTATATTTATGTTGCCTACAGCGTATTCTCTCTGTTCTGTTCTGTTCAGCTGAACTCACGCCAACTCCTCCAGGTCCCCCCTCCACAGACAATGTTACATCTCATTGGCTTTGCCCTAGATAGGCTATTTTTGTATGAAATAATTAGACATAACTGATTTAAATACTGCAAAGCCAACACTCTTTTGTCTCGTTAACAAAGTACAGGAAAGGCACATGCTTGTCATGTCTTTTCTGTCAATCCCTACAAATACGAATGCGTCCAAAGCTAATGGATCTGAAGGTGAGCCAAAAAATGAAGAACTTTATTTTATTCTGATACGTTCGGGACTGAGCTACAGTGACCTGACCTGATAGAATCTATTATGAAAGCAAAAAAAGCACTGCCAGGAGCTTTTAATTGTCTCAACGTGTATATCAGCAAAATATAGGATTGCTAAAATATGCCGGCGTACAGCACTAATTGTCCATATAAGGACAGCGCGGCGCTTAAAACAGCACGTTTTGTTTGTTACACTGACCCCGGACCCAGACAGCCGTGCTGATGCCGAGTGCACACGGGCACACAAGGGAGAGGTGGAGAGCAGGAACGCAGATTGGGGCTGACCGCTCGGCTGCACTTTAATGTACCCTCTACTTCATCAGTCCTGATTAGCCACCATAAAAATCCAGATTGAACATTACAGTTTTACTGCTGATTGTCTTCCAAACACTCTCAGGTGTTGGCGTGTTAAATGCCAGGGTGTGCATCTGTCCTCGCGTCCCATTAGCCTGCTGCAGTGAGACGTCTGACTTGAAAAAGGGGGACCCTCTTCAGAAACGAAAGCAATGCAGAACAAATTTCAGGCTTTTAGGCTTACTGCATCTTGTGCCAAAACCTCAATAACAAGCCCCCCTCCAAGCCCCCATTTCTCTGGCTCTTGCCCCAGACTTACACAAAGAAACACCAGCTTTATGGACTTAGGGCATTAAGGCATAAAAAACAGCGGACGGAGAACAGGTTCGTGACACATGGCGCCAAACGCAGGACCCGATCTTGTCAGATCTCGCACAGGCCGTACAGTTTAACGCTCCAATTCGTAGGTGCGCCGACTTGTTTTCAAAAGGCCACATGAAAGGGCTTAGCGAGAGAGATGAGCATTGGCGGCGAGGAGGCCGGCGCTCCAGCAAAAACGCTTTTCTGATGAGCTGCAACAATGCACTCACTCCCACGACATCAGCTCTCTGTTGGGAGTCTCCTCCTAATTTCCTCCATCCATAATAAAAAGAGCTACATTAAACAGTGCCATTAGTGCCAGCAATTTGTTTTATTCTCCACAGAAAGAGAAATGTTATCTGTGGCGGACAAACTTAACCCAATTAAAGCTCATTGTGTATGGGGGCCTTGCTGGGTCTTCAGCTGATGCCTAGGAACGAGGGCAGAGGAAGCCAACTTTGGGGAGGGAGAGGGGGAAAAAAGAATGTTTGGAACATGTCTGGAGAATTAGGGAAACTAGGAGAGAGACAAATGTGCTTTCAGGAAAATAGACGGGAAGAGAAATTATGTTTTCCTGCATTTTCCCCCCACATCAAATCCCTCCCAAGATGGTTTGATAGAGGAATGGTGTGCGAAATGTACACTTGAAACTAAAAATGAACAGTTATTTTGCCTTTTAAATAAACAGCCAAAGGATTAAAGCGTAAAAGGCATATAAGTTTTTGGGGGGCCACCCTCCCAAATATTTGATGCTGATGATACTCGGTCCATCCTTAGGATGACCAACTTTTAAATATACGTTCTGTCGATCTTGCAGCCCTTATCAATATCAAAATTACTGAAATGGCCAATCAAAACAAAGAAGGCTGAGCTTTCACCAAGACCAACATAAATTAAGTTTGAGAAATAGCAGGTCTCAGTATTTTTGTTGATACCAGTCTGATTATTAATAATGCAAAATTGCCTGTCTCAATATTTGAGTCAGATTGTTGTTAGAATGACCCAGTTTAAAAAGTTTTGTCAAAATAACTGAAATGGTCAATCAAGTCAAATGCAGAGCTTTGCAATCCACAGAAACCAAACATGAACTACAGCTCAACCATTTAGTTTTTAATAGCGAAAGAGTGTGAAGTAATGTGTAAACAGCTAAATATTTGATACATTAAACAGACTGATGAACACTTAACACACCTCACGCAAACTCTTTCCATACTCCTCACTGCATACCATCAAGATGTAACATGCACTGCACTTTAACCAAATCCTTACTAACAATATTGCTGACAACAATTTTCCAACAACAGTCAAACTATGTGTACACCTTTTTGACTGTGTACTTGTCAATCTGTGCCTACTACATGTGTGTTTTTCTTAACGCATCTATTGTCTTTCATGTATTTATAGTCTTTTATGAATTATTGTCAATATTGGTAATAGCATATTGTTTTGTTTTTGAAGTATGTTGTATTTTGCACTGTCTGGAGTCAGCCTCTAACCTTTTCCCTCATCATAGTACACGTGTTGCTAATGTCGCAAGTACATGGCGCAAGCTGCTAATTTAAATTAAAAATATGAAATTAATATACATATACATATTTTGCTTAGCATATATAAGTACACCCCTCACAAATGTATATTTTAAATTCATATTTTTAACAGATGCTATACAATATTATATTTGTGCATATACACTAGATTAGTCAGTACTGAAGCCAAATCTGGAGCTTATTTAACCATTTAACTTACGATAACAGTCCAAAAACTAGTACACCCAAATTTATGTTATAGAAAATGTTAAATACAAATTTTAATAAGAGGAAAAATCAAGAGAAGCAAAAAATTTGAAAAATTTAGTTTAAATTTTGTAGGTTGAAATTGTTTTGCAATACATTGCTTGAATTGAATTGTGTTGTCTTTCAACTTCTAAATATGTTTAGTGACTAAATTATTATTTTAATAAATGTATCTGTTTAATAAATCTGTTTTTTTTTAAATGCACCAAAATACATAGCCTATATTCACTGAGAAATGGATATAAATATTCCTTGTACTTATATATGCTGAGCACAATATATACAGAATTATTAGGCCCCCTTTGAATTTCCTTCTTTTTTTTTTTGGCCCATATGACATTTAACAGAGCAAGGAAACTTTCACAGTATGTCTGACAATATTTTTTCTTCTGGAGAAAGTCTTGTTTCATTTCGGCTAAAATAAAAGCAGTTTTTATATTTTTTAAAACCATTTTAAGGTCACAATTATTTGCCCCTTTAGCCTTTATTTTTGTTTGATAGTCTACAGAACAAACCACTGTTATACTATAAGTTGCCTAACTACCCTAACCTGCCTAGTTACCCCAATTAACCTAGGTAAACCTTTAAATATCACTTTAAGTTGTATAGAAGTGTCTTGAAAAATATCTAGCAAAATATTATTTACTGTCATCATGGCAAAGATAAAATAAATGAGTTATTATGGTGGCTTGAAAAGCCAACATACTGTTATCTCACGTAAACTTATTATTAGGCTGGCTTGTGTAGCAAGCCAGACTACTGTTATCCTATTAAACTTATTAGGCTGGCTTGTGTAGCAAGCCAGACTACTGTTATCCTATTAAACTTAATATTATTAGGCTGGCTTGTGTAGCAAGCCAGACTACTGTTATCCTATTAAACTTAATATTATTATTATTTTTCTATATTATTCTTCTTCTGAGACTAAAAATTAAACTCTATCTCCTCCTAGGCCATTCAAGCTATGACCATCAAACTCAGGTCAGACCTCCGAACTATTCTAACTCGAGTTGCTATATCCTTTCCGACTGATCCGACTTTCGGTTTTCCGAAAAACGTCCCGGGACCGTCGGAAAAATCCCATAGACGTAACATTGGATCAAACTTTGTGACCTCATAACTCCGCATCAGAATGTCACACAGACTTCTAACTGGGCTCATTTAACTCAGACTATCAAACTGCCAATGACTAATCACCTTTAAACTTTCTGGCCACGCCTTAGCAACCACTTTTGGACCCTAGAAACCGCCCCATAGACTTCAATTGCAAAAGACTCTCATTGACTTTACATTGGATCAAACTTTGTGAGCTCATAACTCTGCATCAGACTGTCCTACAGACTAATGGCTGAGCTCATTTAACTCAGTCTAGCCAGCAGCCAATCACTGATGGCCTTTTAACTTTTTAGCCACACCCTAACAACCAGATACTGCACCCTAGCAACTGTCCCATAGACTGCCATTAAAGAGGTTCAGACTGATATTGTCATGCTGCAGTGTGATAGAGACATGGGGGTTGTTTTTAACTGTTCATACTGGCAAGAAGCTTTGATACATCATCAGTCTAAGCTGTCAATCAACTCCATAGCAACAAAACTGACTAACCTAGCAACGATATAACAGCAGCTATATCTCAGCATCAGAACATCGTAGAGAGGCGGGGGTTGGCTTGTTTGACTCATGCTCGCACACCATCTATCTATCTATCTATCTATCTATCTATCTATCTATCTATCTATCTATCTATCTATCTATCTATCTATCTATCTATCTATCTATCTATCTACCACTATCTATCTATCTATCTATCTATCTATCTATCTATCTATCTATCGATCTATCTACCTATATCTATCTATCTATCGATCTATTGATCTATCTATCTATCTATCGATCTATCTATCTATCGATCTATCTACCTATATCTATCTATCTATCTATCTATCTATCTATCCATCTATCCATCTATCCATCTATCTATCTATCTATCTATCTATCTATCTATCTATCTCTATCTATCCATCATGCTAAGAACATGCTAATTCATGCTAGAATCATGCTAGTTACATGCTAATTCATGCTAGAATCATGCTAGTCACATGCTAATTTATGCTAGAATCATGCTAGTCACATGCTAATTCATACTAGAATCATGCTAACAACATGCTAATTCATGCTAGAATCATGCTAGTCACATGCTAATTCATACTAGAATCATGCTAACAACATTCTAATTTATGCTAGAATCATGCTAGTCACATGCTAATTCATGCTAGAATGATGCTAACAACATGCTAATTCATGCTAGATTCATGCTAGTAACATGCTAATTCATGTTAGAATCATGCTAACAACATGCTAATTCTTGCTAGAATCATGCTAGTAACATGCTAATTCATGCTAGACTCATGCTAACAACATGCTAATTCATGCTAGAATCATGCTA